TCGAGGAGATATGATATTTGGCTCTTAACTATCCGATAACTGAGGCCCAGCCGGCATTTAATCGGCTTTCCTTTTTTCAAATTCACTTTCTCAAGAGTTCCTTGAAGTCCTTATTCTACATTTTAAAATGATATAGACGGATTCTTGCAGAAGTAAAGAGGTGAAAAGGAGACATGAAAAGGAAGCAACTAATTTAACAAAGCGCTTTGGAATTGCGTTTTCACGCGCAGATAACTACCTATAAAGACCTTTTTTTATTCTCTATTGGCTCACTGAAGGTGGAGTTGGGACTTATCGGATTGTGTAAAATTTTAATGCCTGAGCTGAAAAGAATGTTTATGTTTTACGTATATGTACAAATGTGCAAAATTGCCGTGAGATAAACGAGAGCACACGGGAACGCAGAAAAAAATCAGAGAACAAAAGTGACCAAAAGTATTCAACAGGTTTCAGGCAAAATTGACTGGGAGAACTGAAAGACTGCACGGAAGTGGTTGAGTGATTAAATAACAATAACCATATTAACATGATACTTTATTCTTATGATTTGTGCAGACATAAACGAATGTCTTGACAAACCATGCAAGAACGGTGGAAACTGCGTTAATCTGCCGGGAAGTTATCGTTGCAATTGCAAAGTCGGTTTCACTGGTAGACACTGCGAAAAAGGTCAGTATGGGACACATTGATCGCGTTATAAGGTTTATACTTCTCCCTCGTCTTGATGTATTTCTATTGAAAATATAGCCTGTGAGAGAAGACGCACACGCACCTTTCGGCTTTTCCTTCACCCGCTGAGAAAGGAGCGTACGTTCACTTCTGTCTGTATAAGCATGATCTCTTTTATTAATTAAGCACACCAGCTACAGTTACGGAATCTGCCACCATTTCAAATTGAAAAGTAGACGACCTATGTATACAGATCACCAATCTTATAAAAATGCAGCTTAGACAACTGCCGTGATAATACTCCATGAACGCTAATCGTCACAAGACAACTGACTTCCATGACCATAAAACATTTAACGCTCCATTTTCATTGTGCACTGATATCTCCATAGACACTAGTACCTACTACTACAAAGAAATTGCCTTTGGTAAAAGAAATTGGTTTCATGCTACTAAAAAAAGGACCGACATCTCTTAAAATCCTAAAGACGAAAAAAATAACAAATATCGAATCAGATTGTGATTTTACATGTGTTTTCCGCAGCTCATAAAATAATTAATAATCTGCTGGTCGCATCTATTTGTACTGCATGGCTAAGAGCAAATTAACGTACTTAAAAAGTCTCAAGTCAGAAGGACGTTAGCCTTCCCAAACTAAAAAAAAAATTGAAATAAACAAAAAGAGCTCTGTTAATCACCATTGTTTCACTATGAAAGAGAGAATATCTGTAATTGCTCACGGAGCTTTTTGGAACGTTCTTGCCACGGTGGACACAATTAGTAGGCCCTTGAATAGCGACGTTAACATTGCCACCTAAGATGGGACGCCACTGTCAAATAGGTGATGCTACTAATCCAGGAGTGTAGTATCTCTTGGCGAATCATCTTTACACTATTCACAGTTACCAATAGCGTGTGGTCATCACTCTCTAATCAAACTTTTAACACAGAGACTCTGACTAAAGATCTTAACATAATTAGAGATCTCTGCAAATTTTAACCCCGAAATCTGGAGACTTTTGGAGAGACTATCGGTTTTTAAAATCTCAAACTCTGCATTTTGCCATTCAGAACTTTAAATTCTGAAGGTTTTTATGGCTGATATTTCCTTTTAAAATATATAGATCACTTAGTTAATAAGCACTTTCAAGGTTTGAATTTATTCATTCGTATCTACTTCAAGCTTATGGCTCCAAAAGTCCCACACAATGATGACGGCATGATGAATTCTACCGCACCGAAATTTCAAAAAAAAAAAATAGAATACCCGACGTCACCCACCAAAACTTGAACTTTCTTTAGTGTTTCATACTTATTTATTTTTCTACGAAAACAACCGAATGTTGTTAGGGCATGTTTACGCGAAACAATTACGACTTATTAATTTGTGGTGAGCAAGTATATCCATTTTTAACTGATCAATCAGTCAATCAACAAATTAATTTAACTACGCTATTGTCACAACAAAAGCTGATTTCCAGGCGTGGCGTAGACAAACACACATTAAAGCGTGGTGTTCACTGTTGGAATGCAAGATGTTACATAATTTCAGAGAATAATTAATTAGTACAGACGTAAAAATTTACAGAATACACCTTGTTTTACAATATGTGTTGGTGGGAGTTTTGAAGAATAATTAATATAAGTTTAAAATATTCCCACAAACAAATTATGGAATCAGAGCGATAGCCTGCACACCGCGAGAGCTTGCTCGCAGGCTGCTATTTTAATTTCCCATTTGATTTCACCATTTTCATATAACACCGCTCTCAAATTGAATATTTCATTATTAGACTATTTGCTTCTATCCCTAGATATCGACGAGTGTTTCGAAGAATGCAATCCTTGCAAAAACAGAGCTAAATGCGTCAATCTTCAAGGGAGTTATCGCTGTGATTGTAAGCCTGGATATTCTGGAATCAACTGCGAAATTGGTGAGAATCAAGCCTTTAGTTTGCCTTGGTCTGTTGCAAAAACTCCCAAACTATCATGAAACCGTGATACCTTTTTTCTGTTGTAGACTTTGAAGGAGTAGGCTGCTATAAGGACACTGCACAGCGGGCAATCTCTTCTCTAGAAGGAAAAGATCCCGCTTTGGATGGCAATTACAAAACTCGTAAGAACCCGATAGCTAAGTGCGCTTTGGTTGCTCGCAAAAGAGGTTACCGCGTGTTTGCAGTGCAGGATGGAGGATGGTGTGCAGCAAGTGCTACTGCCGAAGAGACGTTTAACAAATATGGGAAGAGCAGCGCATGCAAATTAGACGGCCAAGGCGGACCTTGGGCAAACGAGGTCTATGTTTTTCAAGGTCAGTCAGGAGCCCATAAACCCAGAGCGAGCAACTTCCATGTACTTGTGTCACGGCGTTTTGTCCAACCAGTTTATTTTTAGAACGGTATTGGCGCGAACTTACAATATCATTGTTTTAAGTCCCACAAACTAGTCAGAAAAACCTAAAGACCTAAAAATGGTATTTATTGCCTTTTAATGTCGTTTAGTTTTCCTTTTTGATATCTTATGCTCTGAATGCGCTCATAGACAGAGCCGTGATTCCACTTTAACGGGAAAAAGTGCGGTAAAATGTGTCTAAAAATAAACCGGTCCATGAAAACGCCGTGACATAGGGACATAGGCCAAGTATAGGAGTTGCTCGCTCCGGGTTATAGGCTCCTGGGTCAGTATAGAATTTCATCTTTCTTTCTTCAACAGGGAGGTCCCATTCAGACTCCTTTGCGAATCTCATGACCTTATGATACACCGTTTCTGCTTACAAATATGAGTCGGTAGGCGAACATATTTGCCTTTAGTTATAAATTATATAGGCGACCTTAGAGGCTCACAGACCCCTACATCAGGGCACAATGCGTTACGGTTCGTTCGATCCGTACGGTCCGTACACATATGGAGCGTGCATCTCATTATTACATCAGAGCATTATAGCGGTGGGGGAAGGGAGTTGAGAAACACACGTTCCCTTAGTAGAATTGACACTCATCGCCAGGCTAGACTTTGGAACGTTTAACACCAAGGCTGCCACACGTAACGCATAGCGCTCATTGACAATCTCGACGATCCTACTGAAAAATGGGGAAGGGATGTGAACAGTCTACAGGCGACCATAATTTCCCACACGTGGTAATGGCATCATCGTTATCCTTGGTAGCCTGACCGTATTTCCGAAATATGAGGGAGCAATTTATCAACTGATGTTAAAATTATCATTGGTTTCATGACAGCAGCTTGAAGTTTTAAAGTAGCAAGTGAAATAACACGGTTTGTATAAATCAGCAACACGTTCTTTCGCCATTTTGTCTGCAGAGATTTAAGGTTGATCATCACCCGCTATACAGGATTGATGGAGTTGCAGTTTTCTTTCAAGATATATTACCCTGCGAGCAGAGGAATGCATAAATGAGAATGACATAAATAATTAAGGATAACTGTAAACTGTAGAACCTTGAAATAAACTTGCACTGTCAGAAAACGAAATTGAAGTTGTATACATATCATTTTGTGTCAGGAGCCTGTTTGTGTTTTTGCTTTTCCTATATAACAGCTAGGATACTAAAAAGCTCCTTGGCGACAACCATTAAGGAAAGAAAAACCCTTATTTTTGGACCTTTTATTGGCCAGTTAACATGGGAATAGCTAAATAGAGATTTGCAACATTAAGGGCCTTTTTGTCTGCTAATGTCATATAAATATGCTAAAATTTGTTGGAGGGACTTGCAGGCCCTGGAGGAGCGCGGGCTCATTTCCTGAACAGCGGCTGGTAATCGAGCCTAGTCTATATCGAACTTTTTCTCAATTTCTTTTATTTAATTTTTTTTCCATTACCTTTTAATTCATTTTATCGTCTTTCTTTCGCATTGAATTTTGGCTGACTAACTTTCCAGGAAAGGGACAAATTTAAACTGTGCTAAATAGTAGGGGGTGAAAAAGAAAATTTGCTGTGCATTTTTCCCTAAAGTGAATTCTTTAATCTTTCCAAAATATTAGACTTATGCGAACACTTAAGAAAGTAACAATTTTACTTGCTTCAGGAGTAAAATATATTATAATCAAACAATTTTTTTAGATCGTGGTGAAACCTCATGTGACATGAGGGAAAGGAGAATATCGAAAGCCTGCCACGCAGGCTAAACTGTGACACATCCGAGAAACCCGGAAGAGGGGGAATTGCATGTTGTTGCGTCCTTTGTCCTGTTGTTGGGTCCTTCGAGTCTCCTTTGTCACTGTGGGCATGTATATATCTCGGTGGCATGCTGTGGTATGTTCTCACGGACTGAAAAAGCTGCAAGCTAATCCCCTTTAAAGAGAATCTTGACGTTTTAGAACAGCTCGTCCTCGATGAATCTTTCATAGTTCATGTCATAGTTAGACAGTTCAGGATTATCGGCTGTCAATAAATCAAAAGCGTACATAAGAAAATGCCGGATTGCCTGTTACAATCACCTCTCTCTTAACGGAGACCTCCATAAGAAGGGCACCTTGAGTTGGTGCCTTCCTTTCTTAACTCCTTTCAGTTGACTCTATAAGAAGGGCATCTCTCTAAGACCGACACATTAGTATACCGGTCCCAAAGGTGTGAATCCGTCTTGAGGTGGTGTTACACGGAACGATTCGCAACAACAATTTTCAGCGCAACACAGCATTACAGCATTGTTGCGACATTGTTTCGAATGGTTGCAACATTGTTGCAACATTGCCGGACAACGCTGTGTTGCCTGAAAATGGTCGTTGCATCGTCTCTTGTGACATCACCTTTAGAGAGAGCTGACTGTATGGTAATGTGCCTCAATCCATGTCACGAGACAAGCGATTCAAAGACCAGCTAAAAAATGATCAAGTCCAGTCAATGCCAAATTATAAAAAATTTCTCCCCCGGCTACCTTCACCGTTGCCACCATGTTGTGTAAGAAAACGAAAGAAATTATCCATCATTCTATAACTACTAACAGTTTTTGATTGTTCTGCTCGAACTGAAACAGATCGCATATTTCCTTATCATACGCTCCCTTAATTAAGTTCTTTACACCGGAGCACCGGGTTTCTAGAAAGATGGTCAACCTGAAAGTGAGCAAACGTCGGTTTGCTCAGTTGCACAAGCTTTTGTAGGCCGGGATAATACTAATTCGTAAAATCCAGCTAGTGTTCTATTATCAATGCTGCATTCTGACTGGTTGAGCTACTACTAGGCTATATGTTATAGCCCCCTAGTAGCGAAAAGCGCGGGCTTTTTGGCTTCAAAAAGATTAAAGTCTAGCTTTTAACTAGCTAAAATTTTTTATTCTCGATATTTTTGACCAACTAGTTGGATTTTACTAAAACAATTATTCCTCTCGCCCTCATGGCCTCTGAGTCAATAGCACATTCGGCCTTCGGCCTCACGGGCTATTGACTCAGAGCCCATTCGGGCTCGAGGAATAATTGTTAAAGATTTTAAAGTGAAACCCAGTAATGCCGAAGTAATGTTTACCGGACTTAAAATTACTCCAGCAGTCTCTGAGAGACTTCAGAAACGAAATCGCATACTAGTTAAAATTTTAACCCTGGGTTAAATCTAACCGGCTTTCAAGGAACTGGATCCAGCGGTATTTTTCTTCCCCTGCTGCAGTCCGGCCACTTTGATCCCCTTTTCTTCTTCTGTACCTGGCGATTTTTCGAAACCTTGTTCGTCTCCAACCGCAGTATCATTTTTTCTAGGGCTCTCGTCCATGATAAATTTCTCTAGCCTTTGTCGTAGTTTTCCATCTTGGACACTGTCTATTGGCAGTAGAACTTGGAAAAAAGAGGAGCGGAGCATAAAACGTTTAGTTATTTACGATTGTCTTAAATTAAAGTATTGTGGGTCCGTGATATAAAGATGAAACACTGAAATAGACTGAAGATATTGATATTGTTTGAACCAACGGCCTCCCGCTAAGCAGACCGGCGCTTATCCCACTGAGCTAACCGGGCGGCAAGCAAATCCATGTAGTATACAAGAAAACCTAACAGAGTATACTTAAAACTTTAAGAAACCGCACGAAATTTAAAAAACAAATCTAGTACGGCTTTGTAGTCATTTATAATTATCACTTTTGAAAATGCGAATAATGAAAATCGATTTAGTGAGCATTTTTTTCAACAGAAATTGTCCTCTCAGAACTCCACTAGAAATCGCGTTTCAGAGCATCAAACGCCCCTTAGTGGCTTGCGCCCTCGCCGCTCGCCGCTCGCGTGAGTCGTATTTGAAAAGTTGAACCTTCTGTTAAACTGGGTGATTTGAGGGATAAAGTTAAACGCATGCGCATTTACTGTGAAGAATGAGGTCAATGTGCATTGCCAATCTTTTAGTTTCAGAACTTCTACGCCCTTCTGAACACACCGACTGCAATTCAACGGACGTACAAAGATTGTTAAGCTTAATATAAGCTACCCTACAAAAAAGGCAGCAACATGATTCAGGAACTAGGGAAGTTATCAAAGCTAAATATACGTAAAGAAGCCTCACCTTCATCTGAATTTGAACGAACAGAGGCGAGGAAAGCAAAGGCAAACGCCAAGGAGGGCTTCATCTTGAAAAACAGATTGAAACGAATTTTTATGCAGAAAAGCCTCTGTCCGTTTCCATGCGATTAAACAAAAACAATTCGGTTTTTTTGTTTACTACTTAAGCAGGACAATAGCAAAGTTAATCGGTGGAAAGTTTTTGAAAAATGTTCTTAAATTTAAGATAACCTCTCACGAAAGGAGTAAATCAGAATGCTTTTCGCCACATTACTATTAATATTGAATTGAAAGGTTAATGTTTTTTATTTGCTTGAAACAACAGCATGGAACATATGTCAGTTGAATTTTAAATTGGCAGTTATGAAGGCGAAGCGGCTCACAGCAGGTTTGACTAACTCATTACAACAGCTGCTGCGATTTTTTTCGGTTCCACCATTGTGAGTTTTTGCGATGAACAATCAAGAACAATTCGCGCGTTTGTTTGGAAACACATGCTGTTCTCAGTGAAGCTGGCTGGCCCTACAAATTCAAAGGGGCGCCATTTGCTATCTTTTTTCGCATCACTTGAATTGATTTTTATTGAAGCAAAACAATATATTCTGAATTATAATTCTGTAACTTTGAAAAAGGACAGCAGACAACGTTGCTTACCGTTCCTAGTACGGTACCTGTCCCTTACTTTGAACCGGTTGCGAAAGTTCACTTTTTTGCCTACAAAAATCACAAAAAAGTGGTTAGTGCTTCCTGATAAAATTTCGGTTTGAAATCTTCGTCATCTGACTCTACAGGAGTATTTTGCGTATGGGTAAAGGCATGAAGTAATGATTTCAGCACAGAATTGACCTGAACTCCCGGGGGGGGGGGAACTCCGCATAAGAAAGGGATGGGGATGCTCGTCATCTCGCTTAGGGGTGTAAATTTTGGTCACACTTAGGGTGTTCTGGGCAAAACGCCATCATATTTAGCCGTGAAGGTCTCGTTTAGGGTTGCACGCAAAAAAATATAAGTATATATTCTGTGTTTTAACATGGTCTCTTTTAGGGATCAAAAAGAGCTTGGGCCACGCCCTGATCGGTTTCATTAAGACTTTAATTTAAAATTTCCGACGATTATCCCCACCCCTTTCATATGCGGAGTCGCCCCCGGGCCTAAACAGCTGAATTTTGACATCTTTAATTGGCCAAGCAATAAATCACATAGACACGCTTTTGCAAAGAAGAGAAAATAATTGTGATTGACATCAAATTATACCTTCTTTATACAACAGGATACAATGAAGCTACTAATGACTTAACTGTCTACACTTCAACTCTTGAAAACGAGGAAACAGCTAGATTGGGGTTTTTATTTCCCCTAGTTAATTGCTTCCTTTAATTTTGCAGTTGAGAAAGGACAATATTATGCGATCGTTCAATTCAATGCCTTTTGTTACGCGTTGTTTAGCTTGACGGTTTTTAGTTTTGACCTTAAGTTTGAAAAAGATCATTAAGAGGACTGTGTCATGTCTGTTTTTATACCCGTTATGCGTCCTATCCGCTAGTTTACATGTCCATGGATGACAAAATTACAGCTTCGTGTCAAACAAATAAGTCTCCCAAGCATTAATTGTGTCAAATGTTACGAGCAACAAAAATAGACTCAGTCTAAAAAAGAGTTTAAGGCAAACAAGTTTTAAAAAGCACAATTACAATCCGTTTCAGTCTTCTTCAAGTTTGTCCATCCCTGTAACCGTTTTCATTTTCCGTGTTATTTATTTCTTCTTTTGATGTTTTGAGAGGTTTATTATTTTTGTTTCACACAGTTTGGTGGTAGTCCAGTCCCACTGAGTTTTAAAAAATTTCGTGACGACGCAGCTCCTTTAATACATATCCTTTGCAGTCATTGCCCGTTGGAGAGACAATTAATCCAGTATGTCATTTCCTGTGCTTCAAATGGGCCAAGACCGTTTCATAACGTCGCTTTTGAGAACAAAACAAACTAGCATATCACTACAAGATACCATAGAAACAAACGGCTTGTTTTGATACAGCCGTCATGCAATTAAACATCCGGGCTTTTGTTGTTGATGGTTTGACTCAGCTTCCTGAACTACATCCTACGTTTTGTAAAATATCACAGAGTATTAAAATTGAAGAAATTATTTGCAAAAATTGTGGTTGTGTGGTTTGGCTTTGATAACTTTCTGCATAATTCAAAGAAGTAAAAGGCTTATGCCTCACTGGATTTAGAGAAAGACGAATCCATGTCACAATCTACGTGATAGGTTTCAAGTCAGCATTCTTAAAAATTTTCGAAGTCATCATAGTTTTCAAAGGCAGGTGGACGTACAGTGACAGAGCAAAATTTTGTTCCGGACATTTAATACCAGTGGTTAATATATTTTACCATTACTGGAGTAAATTAAAGAAAATCGTTCGTAATACTGAGAACTTCGTTATATCGAGGTTCCACTGTATCAGATTTTTTGCTGACCTGGTTGCCAGGGTCCATCTTTCCATTATTTTCCTTATTTCGCCCTTTTAAAAGAGATTTCATATTCGAGCAGCGCAGCCATCAAGCCAAGACTTAGAACCATTGCTCGACAGGTCCTTACTAAAATGAAAAGGAATTATTTCTTTCAACTACAGATTTGTTAACAGAATTAAACTGCGACTAAACAAATAGTCATTAAAAGGAGTTACTTAATATGGGACATGACTCTTAGCGTCATAAAATTACCTCCGACAGGCAAGTCAAAGATACTCTCACAAAGACAATGACGTCTATATCAAGTGGGTAGGATTGTCTCGTCAACTCTATTTCAGTGTATCAATAAATCAATCAACACAATTGAATCAAACGTACCATGTCAAACATTTCAAGCACTGAAAGACTGTTGAATTGAGAAACTCACCCTCGTTTTCTCGCAACATCTACGAGTAAGCCGTCAAAATACTCTAGTTGATTTATCTACTACTGACGTACATTGCTGAATTAATGTAAAGTCTCTAATTGCCCATATAATGCTTATTTAATGAAGACCGGTTATCAGTGCGACTTCCTTACGCACTGAAAATAAAAGGTTAAAATAATATGTAATTTCCTGGGAGTTGGCTCGGCCGTATAATGGCCAGTCATGATGAACACATCACCTGCCGGAATCCAACGAGGGTATAGAGAGTGGGAGTCCGGATATATGCGTTTGCAAATGAAGTCATAAGAGAGCTCTATATAGTATATAAAGAAACTGTTGCTCGCAGTTATAGAGAAGAACTTACTTGGAGATCGTGCATGTAACTACTCTATTCTTAACACCGATTGAATTTCTTTTCAATCCACGTAAAACAAAGGTCAGTAACTATATTTTATTAGTAAAGAAATGTATCTATGTGTTTGGGATATGACTGGCTGAGGGAAGTAACTAAAGTTTTATGTTATCAGTTCAAGTTTCTAAACTTTGATCACATAAAAAGGGTGTAATTCATTTTACCTGCAAAACACAAAGGACCTCTTATTGAAGAGCTTGTCGTCCAAGTTGAAGTCTTATTTCTTAATTAATTGATTTTTTTATTTCATTTTTTTGCGTTCCTTTGTTCTTGTTTCTTTTGTTTCAGACTGACGAAGAAACGACGGAAACAATCATTGTCTAAAAATGTACTTCTCGGCCCTTGCGCTTTGTATACTCGCTTCTGTTGTCATTCAAGACACTGCTAGGTAACTTATGTTGTAGAGTAAGTTAGAGCAATATGATTATCAACGTAAAACGTGAAGCGGGGGAATTTTCGTGAACGGTTTGTTTTGAAACCATAATGTGTTTTGATGCTAGAGCGGTTTTCATTTGAGTGTCGAAAAGTAATTGGTTTTGCACTTTCTACACGATGAGATTGGCTTAAAAGATTCGCGCCACCTTTTCATCCAATCAGAAGTAAGACCAAAGCCAATTGTGACGCGCTCGCATGCATTTTCCCGCGCTTTGCGTCAGCCACATGTAATTACTTCGAGTTTTGATTGGTTCAATGTATTGTCTGTGTCCTATGTGATTGGCCAGAGTAATTACTTTGGTTTTGGTTTTACGACACTCAAACGAAAACCACTCTAAGCGCTGTTCAAGATCTGTTTCATAGTCTCTTTTACTTTTCGTTACAGAGGCCATGAAGTATGTATCGATTGGATGCTTCAGAGATAAGATGATAAGACCCAGGCCCCTTCCTGAACTGCTGAAAAACTTTCGAACACAAATTGACTGGTACAATTTGAACAAGACAATCAACGCATGCGCCAAACAAGCGAAAGAAAATGGTTACCTCTACTTTGGAGTTCAGTTTTACGGAGAATGCTGGAGTGGACCACTGGCTCACATGACTTATGACAAAGACGGACCAAGCACAGAATGCATCGCCGGTGTTGGTAAAGGTTTCGCAAACTCAGTGTATATGCTTACTGGCAAAGGTTAGTATTTGAATATCCCCGGCTCAGATGTAGAATTAGTGACAGAAAAATTTGCCCCGTTTTCTCGACTACTCAGTTCATTAGTGAAATTCAAATTCGGACCTGACCGAATTGTTCAACCTGCGTGTACGATCAGTCCTAAAAAACTGTATTCATAAAAAATAACCAACTTTCAAGTGAATATTATTTAGCACGAAAGTACTAAATAATTAAAGACATCGCGTATACAGTTGGAGACAAGACCACCATTTCTACCAGAACATCTGAGCGTCTCGTCGCCTCGCTTCGTCGTGAGTTTACTTTGGACCCTGATTTTTGTTCGGCCTTGGGAACAGAACCCACGATTCCCCTCTTTTTAGTGGAGCACTCTACCGACTGAGCTAGGCCTGTTAGAATTAAAACAATCTTTTCAAATGTCAAAAGTGGTGAAGGTTCTCTCAGTCTACTTGCCCTGTTAAAAGCGGCTAGTGATCATGAAATGGTCGGATAGACTGAGAGTTCAACAAAAGGTTGCCTTCAGCGCCTTTTTCCAAGAACAGTATTTTAACCAAATGTTTGAGAAGTTCTGAACAGTTCAAATAAAAGATAAAACGATCGTGCCATGAATTTAGATAGGAGACAAAAGTTAAATTAAGGCCTAGAGAACGGCGGTGTATTTTTAACTTACGTACATTATGCAATAATTTGAAAAACCCTTTTTATTTTTCATAGTGGTCAGTGAAACTAACATGATTGATAAGTTAAATTTGTGCGCCAATGCTTGGAGTGAGATAAAAGAATTCCACGCTGCTTTTTTCTTGTCAGAAAATGAATGTTCCGATTATGCTACCCTGAGTTCCACTGACAGATCCAAGGCGCACGTTACTGTTGGTCGCCCAAAGTGCGATCACTGGACATATGGTTTTCCACTTCGCTGGTACAGATTCACTGGCGGAGCAGGCCAGGCGATTGCGAATAAATGCGTAAATTCAAGGCGGTGTCAAACGTATATGAGTGGATGGATGGACGGTCAGCATCCAAAGGTTAGTTATAATCCATATTATTTCATTCATTCAAAATATTCAGTTCACCCTTTCTGATTGGCCCTATTGCCCCGGCTAACAGAGGGTTCATAACCAACTGGCGCTTACCATATTTGGAAGGTGGGAGTAGTTATAAAAATACTCCTCGATCTGCATAATTCTTCACATCCTACTCAGCCTCATTCAATAACTGCTAATTATGATTTAGCAAAGCTGCATGTGTAAGGCTGCATGGTGTTGGGGGCACAAGTTAGAGTACTCAACCAAAAAGTAAAGATAATCCTTTTTAAAATTGTATGTTTTTAGGTTGTTGATGGAATCGAAAGCAGGCGTGTATGCTTCAGCTGGGGGAACAAATGTTGTTATCGTTCGTCAAATATAAGTGTCAGGAACTGTGGAAAATTTTACGTCTATAAACTTCCTTCTACTGTAGGCTGTCATCAGCGATACTGTGGCAATGGAATACAAAACAAATAAATTCGAAAAATTGTCAACAGCAAATTTCTGTCAGTTCTAGCTATAATTTAAACTAAGACTTTCTGTTTTGAATTAATAACGCAGGAAAATAAGGCCAGATACATACAGGCGGTTTAACCATACTTAGGCAGCACTGCGGGGGCACATTTTGAAGCTGAACCCATGTCAACAGTAGTTCAGTAAAACTCACTAGTGCTATCGTTTTTCTAATAAGTCTAATATTAATATATAATTAGAGACAAGATTATTATCGTTATTTATTCATTTATTTAAATATTTCTAGCTTATTTATTTATTTATTTATTTATTTATACATGTATTATTCAGTGTAATAGAAAAAATAAAAATGTAAAAACTGCCCTTGCGATATGTTTTAACTTAGACATATAGAATTTATTCTGTATATTTTTTGTATATCTGTGGTCAAAAGAAATAAATGAATTAAATAAAAATCAATTTGATTTGACTGCTTTTAAAAGGAACTTGAAATCAGCGTTTCGGTAGTAGGGCCGGTGTGGATATCGATCGTGCAAAATTCCAGTTGGATGTGCGAAGTTTCGAGGTATTGCTCCGTATTGTCGCGGTTATGGTTCGATCTAAAGCCAGGTAGAATAAAATTGGTGTCGATCCTCGATCTGATAAGGGGAAAGGCGATTAGAGAAATTTCGGCATGGTTTTCTTTGTATTAAAACACCTTAAGCCGAAGAATAGTTTACTCTCAACAACACTGGAAATTAATGCATGGGGATGCGAACCATCAATAATCTTTTCAAATAACCACTCCGCTGGGAAACAATCATCTGAGGTGAATCTGGGCCAGCTACAGGTGATTCATTCATTAACTGTCGGTTAAGCAAATAAGGAAATGAAAACCATATTCATTTGGCTTTTTTACTATTAATATCGGTTGTACCAAGTCGAGGATAATGTATCGGACTTACGTTGTCTGGCCACACTATAATTTTACCCATAAAACTAAAATATTTAAAAAAAAAGAAGACTCTAGGTGTTTGTACATTAACCAGTGTGTGTGTTTTGAAAGGTACGTCCGTCATTCAATATCCCGGAAAGTCATCGGACTGAAGTGCGGCAAAAGGGAAAAGTACACTTCCATTGTTTTTCTAAACACGGAAGACAATCAAGCGGGGCTTGACGTCAACTGAAACATTTCTCCTGTTCAGTTAATTAATTCACGATTGGATGATGTGGCATGTTCATTTTTAAAAGTTGTCCATTTCGTTACAAGTCAAAAGTACAGCCAATTAAGGGAAATTCTACAAAGTCTTTTTATCGCATGACGTCCAACAGTCAGGTGATATTCGCTGGTTTCCTGCCCACAAAGAGGCCGGTCCATTTGCGTGCAAAGAGTGTTTTACGAATTGCCGATTGATTGATAGCTATCGCGTCCGTTACAAGTTCATGCTAGAATTAGATCTTGTTGGCACTTATCAATTCATTATATGAAGGAGTGAATTTCTGGTTTGTGTTTATAAAGTGCTTAAATCATGAATGATATTTTCTAAAGAGGCTATTAGATCAGAGTAACGTTGTGCTTTTAACAAAAAGAAACAATAACTGAACTTAGTTAACTTAGTTTGCTATTCAATTGTTACATTTTTCTCTCAGTTTTGTCAGTTATCATTTTTAAATGTGCTAACCGCCTTCTTTTGTATTAAAACCGGAGAATCAGTTATCTGTCCCTGATGCTTAATAAATTTTACTGGTTTGGTTGCGAATAAACCCAAAACTTTAAGGAAGCACAGCAGATTTTTATAAATAAAATTCAATGGTAGTGCCAGTCTGCCTCGAGATGTCTTTTGCTTCTCTCCTTGAAATATAAATACCTTTTACCGAATGGATTCTTGCTCCATGGCTAAGTAAAAAAACTTATAAAGACTCACAAGACTTCTTTACTGATTAAAGTAACTTACATAGTTGTCGTGTTACACGCCTTAATTTCAAGATAATGCCACATAGAAATTTTAAACCCTGCGCTATAAGTCACGCGGTAGCTTTTTCTAGTTTCCTCCAGTTGTTTCATTTCAATGTTCTTTCAGTAGGTATTCTCTTGGCAGATCGAGCCCTTATTCCAAGAAGAATACAAGAAAACTAAGTTTAACAATAAAAACTAGGAGGAATTTATGATTCAAGTTGAGATGATCAAGGTTTCTTTAATACAGAAACGTTTAAATAGCGAATTAACTAGACCGGATGGAAGTAATCGGAAAAGACAATCATCCTTTTCAAACAAAAACTAATGATACCTTTTCGGTTACTCACTGTTAAACGTTTCGGTCAAATTATGAGGGGCGGATATGTGTGTTAACTGCTTTTTTCACATCTTTCTTCCTAGCTTTATATAAGGTCATTCTCTTTACTCAATGTTCATGCCCACCATAAAACTGCATCCACTCCCGGGTATAAGTGAATCAGGGACAGAGCTTTATATATTAAGTAAGCCAAGATTAGCGGTAAGTAAGTGATTGAAGTTTTCTGTCTATTAAATTGAGTCTCTTTTTTCCTACGGGAAACTGAATGTTTTAATTCAATACTCTTTTGCTCAGATTTTTTAAACACCTTACATAATGCAATATGTTGAACAAAAAGTTTTGAAGAAACTTGGAAATTTAGTCTCAGTACCCAAAGCTGTTACAGCATTGTACGTAGGCCATCCTTATGCAAATTACACCGGCAAAGCTTATTTTCTACAACACCGCAAGGACTATCTTGTAATTGTGGGTTTTAATTTTTCCATTTAAATTTGGATAACTATACAAAAGGAATGCGTATATTGCAAAATGCTTGGGAAAAAAAGGTAGGAAAATAATTCTAATTAAAAACGGGAAAGAAAAAATGTTTCCTGATCCCAGTAAATTTTCAAAAAAGTATTAGTTCATCCGGTCTGTTAATTGGAGCACTTTAATTAGGTGTTTCCTTTTGCATATTAGCAGATGGTTACTCAAGAAGCGGTCTGCCTCGCTTTGGTCACCCTGGCCGTCATCTGTCCATGGACTTGTGCACAGTGTAAGATAATTTAGAAATTCTACGCAATTCAGACTATGAATTATAAAAGTTTAATACTAGGCTAGGTTAATCCGAGAAACGTTTTGTTTAGCAACACGACCTAACACATGCAACCAAGAGCCCAAGGCTCGATCACCAGCCGCTGTTTGGGAAATGAGCCGGCGGTCCTGCGAGTCCCTCGGGGCGGGCCGAAGAGAGAGGCATAAATCGAGCCTACCAAGAGCGAATCAAAAATTTTTTTTCAACTATATATATATTTATATTGTGTTTTCCTTGCAGCTACACCTCACTATGCCGGGTTCGGTTGCTTTAAAGACAGATCTACACCCATGCGATCACTGAGACTCCTTGCAAGTTATCGAAACCCCGCTGATAATTCAGTTGATTAGAATGACTTGAAGACTTCTGTGGTAGACAAATGCGCACGAGAGGCAAGAAATGTTTCTTTTAATAGCATTCACACGGATACCTAGTAAAGTCAATTCATTTCTTAAAAGATTTCGTTAATTCTCTTCTTAACGTTACAAAATCGAGGGTTAGGGACTAATGTGAGTGAGGGTACCGGGAAATTAACAAGCGCGCAGAACGGTGAAAGAATTGTTTAAAATATCCTAGCCCTTCCTTGGAAAATTAAATTAATTTTGCGACATATAAGAAAACAATATTTAGAAATTATGTCAATTTTCAACATCCGACTTATTAACTGTACATTACATATTAAGCACTATGGGATCACATCCTCTGAGACCTCCTTGCCAGACTTGTCAGATAGGAAAATTAGACAACGTTCGTTAGCTATACGAAAATATGCAATACGAATTAATTTAAAAAGAGCTATTAATTTCCCATATTAGGTCAAGAAAACAAACAAACAAAAACTCCTCCACCCCCCCCCCAAAAAAAACAATATAAACAAACAAAGGCAAAATAACTCTAGCTAATCTGTGAAAGGTTTGAACCCAGGAGTCATTTCAAAAGTAGGTTGAGTTTGATCGTCCGGGTCTAGCTAATCCGTTGTATTTTACCTAAACAGCTAAGTCATTAATTTTCCCTCTTGTATACAAGACATTGTCTTTTCTTTCTAATCATCAAGGCCGCGGAAGGCTAAATTGGACTTCTTTGGAATACAATATTATGGTGAATGCTGGGGTGGCTCTGATCAATATGACATTTATGGTATATCGCACAACTGTGTATCGATTGGTGGAGCTCAAGTTGGAAAAGAATGGACAAACTATGTTTACATGATAACTGGAGAGGGTAGGTTGCAGAGTTGCCATAAATGACAGAGTTATACTTGTTATTAGTTAATGGTTAATTTCTATTCGTTTTTCCTAACTGGTTAACATGTGGATTCAATGCAACTGTTCTACGTCTTACGCATTCATTTGCTTAAGAAGGGACTAAAAGTCATACGAAACAATTAAATTGACACTTGGTGGAATTGTGTAATCGATTATATTATTCTCTTTTTTCTTTTCAAGCAGAGTGTACGAACTACAAAACATTGACGAGTTTCACAAGGTCTCCTACCTATGATGTACTTCAAAATCGCTGTGATTCCATTCATTATATATGGATGGTTGCAGGATGGTACAGGTTGGTAGGAAAATCGTTGCAAATTCATCCTGAGGCTTTCTTTCTCTTGTTTGATTTTGGTGTACTCGAGAATACTCTGTCTGCATCAAATCGGGTAAGATCTTTACTGAGCATGCGCTGCATGTTGCTAGGATACAGTTTCAAAACCAGGCTGCAATAGCCTCGTACCCTTGGTTTAGCGAGCTCAGCGTTTCTCGTGCTCGTGAAACGAGATTGACTGGAGGAAACAAGATTGGCTTGTCCAGAAGTTGGGGCTGCGGCAACTTCAAAGGGTTGATGGGATTCAAGCACAGCCTTAATTTTCTCCACCTCGATTAAAAAGTAGAATAAAGGAGGAGTATGCCAATGAGGGAACATCTGTAAACAAATATTCGCCATATTGAAGGGTACATCGAATTTTAAACGTATTTTTGCCTTAGTGACATCGTTATATTTGAACTGATTTGTAATTCATTACAGTGACGTTGATCTGGCATAGAAAGGACCCGAGGTAGCGCGACGTGGCCGAGTGGTTAGAGACCTGAACTTGTAATCGGGAGTCCCCGAGTTCAAGTCCCACCCTGACCACTAGCCTTGATTTTCGGTAGTTCCGAGTTCAAATCCGCGGTCAGGCTTAAAAAATAAAATAGCCAAAATTCTACTCTTACCAGATGGAATTCTCAAACCATGTTAAGTTCTATTTGAATAATTTGTTAAATTATTCCTGAAAAGCCCCATAAGGGGCGAGGATAATAAAGTATTTATTTATTCATATTTTTATCCGGCTGAGTTTTAATTGGTCTAATCTTGGCAAATTTCTTTGGAGTTGAATTCTAAAGGATTGCATCAAAGTTCAAGAAAGAAAAAGAAAATTGTTGTTTTGTGTTCCTGTCCTAGACAAAACGAGAAATTAGGCATTTTCACGTTGTAGTCGCGCAGTGACGGCTACGTAATGTACAAAAAGGATGATGCACATGCAAAGTTGTTGTTTTGCCAATCTAAACCTATTAGTTTTTTGCCGTTCTCGTTGCAGTCGCCGTCGTCGTCACTTAAGGTCCCTAAATTATTTAGCTGAATCCGCAAGCGGGAAGATGAAGCGAATCCTACATTCTGATTGGCTACCTGAGCGGGTAAGATGGGCTCATTCTGCGCACTCGGGATTTGCCGCGTTGGTCCCGCGATTAAAAGTTCGCTTTTTGGTCACATATTAAATATTTTATTGACCAGGATTGCTCAGTCGAGATGGCTTGGCCCGCATTCATTCATCTCGACCTAAGGCTTGGTAAATAACTTACAGTTGTTAAGACACTCCTTGAAGATTTGACGGTGCTGCTGAAAAAATGATGGCTTATAGATGTGTACCTTACGGCCACTGTGGAACACGACAACCTGGGTGGTTTAATGGAAGCTTACCAACAGTGGAGCAAGGCAAAGTATCAAGCACAGTGTGTTTCAATGACGGAACTTCATGCTGCAAAACAAATGTCAAAATTTTGGTTCGCAACTGCGGTGGTTTTTATGTTTACGATTTTCCACGGTCTACAAAAGAATGCAACAAGGGGTACTGTGGGGACGGTGAGTATTGCAAAACACGAGAAACTGTTTTTGAAAAGTGCAAAAACTACGCAGTAGTCACTTAAACTCTACAAGATTTGTTCTCCGATATCACTTTGCCTTTTTTTTAAATTCTTAACCAGCCATTGCCGCATAACCACGGCCAGAGGTGGTTAATCTGTTAATTTGTAAGGCACATTTAGGCAAACTTTGGTACAGGTAAAACAAAACTGAACTCAGGGCTGGTACTACGGCAAAGGGCTGATTTATTCTAGGCCAATATTTCGGCTAACAAAATTAGCCTTCCTCAGGGCCAGAGCTATACCGAGAGAAATATCTTTTAACGGCTCCCAAAATTTGAATTTAAAATTCACTTAAGTGGTTAATAATTAGCTACAATTATAAAATAGAATAATATACAGGTAAATGATTATCCAAAAAAAATAGAAATTGAAATAGAAACAGTTCAATGTCCATTCCTTCGATCGGTTCAGACCGTCTGGTGACAGGGTTTTGCCTCTGTCTATGACGTGAAATTTTTTCACATAGTCATTATATACTGAAAGAAAACTGTCGGCTTTAGCATTGACGAGCCTATACACCTTTCTTAATTTATTTATGTATTTAGCGTTTGTTGAATATTAAAATATTTTTACTTTTTTAGGCTCGTAGACCACTGCGCAATGGATCAGCTTCCTAATTTAAAAGAATACGAAGACGATACCCGTGACACAATTGAAGGAATATTTTGTAATCTATTTAAGAGAAATAAGGAACAAATGACTAGTAGTATCGGAATTGTGGTTATTGTATTTAATTTAAAGCCACACTTGAAAGTTTAAAGGTAATGTTACCCGTGACGATTCGCAACCGCTATTCTTAGCTCAACACAGCGTTGCAACATTGTTGCAACATTGTTTCGAATAAATCCAATATTGTTCCAACATTGCAACGATGTGTTGCGCTAAAAATCGTCGTCGCGAATCGTCTCGTGTAACATCACCTTAATTTCTCGATAAAATAGAGTATTCGAAGCTTTGGCAAGTAGGTGAATAAATAGGCGCTGAATCAAGTCTCTGTATATGTGCTTCATAACTTTTACATCAGTGTATATATATGTATCATCGACCTTGCTTAACAGAAAAGCAAACTCAGTTTAGTGAGTTCAGTAAGTCTTAGATGGACGCATTAGTGACTTATTAAATTATTTATTTGACTGTCAAACAAGAGAGCTGGCGTATTTTCGAGTCCAACATAATTTCACTAAAAAGATTGAAACTCAGAATGCCTTTTTCAAAGCTTCCACCAAGTTTGAAACTGCATTTCATCTCCTGGAAACAGAAATGAAGATGAAACCACACAAATGGGCCACCGGTTCTAAAGGAACCCCTTATCTGCAATTAAACATACAAAATTAAAAATTCAGAAAAACAAGGAAATAGTCTCGTTATTCTCATTTTCTGGTCCAATTGATAATTTTCTGGATTCTTGCAAAAGTTTTCTTGCCTGTTATGAAAAGATTTCATGAAACTGAAAGGAGAAAGAGAGAGGATGGAGAAACACAATGTGTTTAAAACGTTCAGTGATATTCTTTCGTGATCGAAGCCCGTTTTGTACGACACATCACTCATAAGAAAAAAAATGGCACGCTGTGTATGTCTTTGTCCCTTTGCTTTCGTATATTGCAAACCATGAGGGTAATAAACGCGCCCTCTTTCTACCATTCTTTCCAACTATTTTTAATTCTTTTTATCTTTCCAAGAGGTTTAATGAATAGAAAACGGGGCGGCTTATGTTGCGATACCAAAGAAACTGGGATAAAGAGAGAAAAGAGAAGAAAAGGGAAGATGAACAAAATATGACATAAAAAAGTGACTCGTGTGACTAAACAATTAACTGGTTGTTGTCTGACTAAAAACTACTGAGAATTTTTTTTTTTAATCATGTTAGGAAAAAATATGGTTTGCTTAAGAAATTAATTTCATCAGGTCCCGGAATAACTTGAAACTTGAAAAAGAACAATTTGAACTTGGAGATTGTCTAAGAAAATAAATAAGCGTTTCACCCAAATAATCATTAAAGTCCATGAAGTTGTAGCTGATCGTTGATGATTAAAAGAGCAGCACACTTTAAAGTTATGACAAAGAGAACAAAAACTGCGTCCGGTCTTTCAATTACTAGTATTGATATTTTAATAAGGTTTGGTCTTACACCTGTAGAATGCCACGTATGAAATGACCACAAGATACACAATCATGAAGTCTGTTTCAACTTTTGTGACATATTTACTGGATCTTTCAAAAACGAAAGACAAAAAGGAAGGTCACTCATCCTTGTACCTATCAAGAAACAAGTGACAATTGAAAGAACAGTTTCCCGACATGTAGGCAGTTTGGAATAATTACGTGGCGCCGTTGGCGTTACGGCTAGAGTTAATAACAATTTCAGTTGAAATTTCACGTTCAAACAGTTTTATCATATCAATGAAAAACAGTGGGTGATATCGATACCTGCGGTTGGCTGTTTGATGTGCATTTAAACAGTGGCACTTGTCACAGTTCACAGCTAAAGGGAGATCAATTTAGCTTTCGTATGCGGAGGATAGCCATCTCTAAACAATACCAACTAGCGTAAACCTTACGGCAGTATTGTCTTGATTTGTTTGTTGAGTTCGATTAAGGCTTAAATGAATTATTTCAGAAAGGTTTAAAAAGAGAGCGTTCAAGATTGGTAATAGTGGTCTGGTTTTCGGAGCCTTGCAATTCACAATGAGGGTAGCATTTATTACTTTTGTGGCTGTTTGCACTATTTTGGCGATAGGAGGAGGCAAAAAACAAGGCCTATTCGCTGATGCACAAGGTAAGTCAGATAGATACAACACGTCATTGCCAAATGTAAAGAAAGTCAAAAAGAATTATTCTTTTTTATTCATAAAGAACGAAAGGAAAGTGAAATTAAGACCGATTTTTTACCTCTTGGTTGTCTAGTTGTAGTCAACCAACAACTAGTAAGGTCAATGAGTTTTACATTTAGTTTATGGCGAGTAACTGAACACCATTAGGATTTTCATTGTTTGCAGTTTTTGTTTTCTTTCTGCTCGAATTAAAACTAAATACAAATCTCTAAGAAAAAACATTCCATGTACGTAATCCTGAAAAATAAATAATTTTTGGAAGACTCATGCTTTTAATGATTTAGAAAAATAATGAAATTGGCAAAAGAAAGATGCCGCATGCACTGTATTTTCTAAGCCGGACTTTGTATAGCTTATTATCAAAAATATTCTTCCTCGTCGCAACCGTTCCCATCCCAATCTTTGGCTCTCCTCTTCTGAATTGCTTGAAATCACATGAACCATGAAAGGACTTGGTAAGTGATCCAATTTTTTTTTTCAAATTTAATTTCTTTTTGGTTTTTGTTTTTCGCAATTATTTTTGACTCTATAAGTGCCTGACAAACATAATTTCTACCCTTCAAGACCCTTCCCCGAAAAACTCATCCACGTACCACTGTTTAATTAGGTTAAACCACTATGAGCTCGAGCGCGTTTTCCAATTGGGCAAAAATTGTCACGTGCCATGTGTCAGCTCCCCAGCGCGAGCAAAACTTGCTCCTACGTGATCTCGCCGCCTGCCTTGAAAACGTGGCAAGTTTGCTACAGCGAGCAAAACTCACACGGGTTCGGACAAATTTTGTGCGGAAAAATCTTTCATGGACCCACCTTTCGTTTACGCGGGACCCGCGTAACCGTTTACGTTTTTGAACGGCAAAGCGTGCAAAAATTTGTATGGACTCGGGTAAAAAGTACTGCCATATATCCGGCTGTAAGAGCCCCGTACAAAGGGGCTGCAAAGATAAAAGGTTAATTTGTCCGCTCAAAAATTTATCCGAAGATCTCACTCGCCCCTGATTACTTGGTCCGTTTACCTTGAGACAACGGGAAATTTGTGTGCCAGTCAAGCCATTAGAGCCGAATAATTTTGTTCAGTCTTGGCCGAAGGATCAATTTAAAACTTATTTCATTTTTGATATGGTGGACGTACCGCCTTCAACAAGATCGGCGAAACAGAACTCACTGATTCCCTTGCCCTTGGGGCCCGTCATTTTAAAAGAGTGTTTTAATTTTAATTTTAGCACAATACTCATCATATATGCATTTGCTCGTCTTTTTCTTGAATATTTATTTAGAAGTATGTACTTACACTTTTATCTAGGCCTCTATTAACTTTTGACATAAGTTACTAGTGAGAATCATGCCCTGTCCCTTTACTACTTCTTATATATATTTAGTTAGATTTAAACTGTTAAATCCAATCTAATGTTTTTTCTTACAGAATTAATTTAATTTTTGAATGTTATACAGCAATAAAATTTGAGCCATTGGGCTGCTTTAGGGACGAAACGACAAATCCTAGACCACTGCCCATTCTTGTTAAGAACTTCCGCTGGCCAGCTCAAATCGACTGGAACAATTTAAACAAGACCATCGAAGCGTGTGCTATTAAAGTCAAGGAGGCTGGTTTTGTATACTTCGGTCTTCAGTTTTATGGTGAATGCTGGAGCGGACCTAAGGCTCATTTAACTTATCACGAAGATGGCAAATCAAACAGATGTGTAGCTGGTGTTGGAATGGCATATGCCAACTTCGTGTATCGGCTGGTGTTTGAGGGTACGTACTACAGACTGTCTAAATACAGTTGGAACCTCTCTTTTGAGGCACCACTTCTATTTAAGGGACACCTCCATTTAGACACAAATTCGCGGAAAACTGATCTCATAATCTTTGTATTTGGTACTTCCTGATTGAAGGGACACCTAGATTCAAGGGAAAGGAACACTTTTTTTGGCCCAAAACCCGGTTTTAACCTTTTAGGGGGCAACTTAGTACTCAAAAAGTGACTGACCACAAGAAGGGTTGACAAGTTCACTGTTTACTGGAGTTAAAATGTCTACAGCTTTTAAAACATGAACTACATCTCACTAAAATCGACCTACTAAACTAATAAACTTGTGGGGATTCAACACACAACCGACATCGCAGAGACAATTACATCATGACTTTAATTATGCATTATCTAGCTGCTTGAAACAATGACTGTAGCAAATTCTGAGGCAGTCAAGTAAAAGAAACGTATTTTATTAAACCGCAGCCCAACCTCCATTCAGGATACACTTGCCTTAATATATGGTTCCGAGGGAGTTCCGTGAATAAAGGTTCCTTGATCAGTAATACCTTTTGAATTACAGCGGAGGCTTTGAAACCGATTATATAGCGATATTAATAAATACAATTTCAAGCACGTTTCCTCGTTAAAAATATAGAGTAGTCCTGGATTAGGTTGCTGGGGTCAAAAGGAATACTTTTAAGAAAGGAACCGCGAAACAAAATGTCACTACCATGTCAATACAATTATGGATTTTTGGAAGGAGCAGTTTAAAAATCAATTTTACCGAGTTGTTCTTCGGAATAAGTGAAATCCTGGTGCTTCTCAATAATCATGAACAAGACTTTCAAAAGCCTTTGTATTAAAGACAAAAATATTTCTATTTATTCAATTCAAACACTTTTGTATTTTCACATGAATATGATCTATTAATTTATTTTTAGAATGCAAAACCGAGAATTACAAAGTTCTGGACAGCGCTGATCGCTCTGTTCACCATGACTATGACGGCAGCGCAGGCTGTGATTACAATCTTCAACCCGGTTGGTACAGGTTCCAAGGTAATGCCGGAAGTACCATGGCCAATGAGTGTCCAGATGAAAGAAAGTGTGGTACTATAGTACCAGGGTGGCTTCAAGGATCACTACCATCTGTAAAAGATGGAAAAGTCACCAGGAAAGTCTGCTTTAATCGAAGAAATAATTGTTGTAGTACGCCAGTTGAGGTAGAAGTTCGTAACTGCGGTGGATTTTACGTGTACAAACTTCCAAAAGCACCGTACTGCCAATTGAGATATTGTGGAAGTGGTAAACAAGGGGTAAGCTCTTATTTGAATCCTTGAAAATAGTGCATTTTCTGTAAAGTGCTACCATTAAACTTCTCTTATTATAATTTATAATATTTCATAAAACTGTGCATATCCAGCTGCATAATTATTTTAAATCTAAAAGCTACTCCTCCATTTAATACTTAAATCGTTGAAAGGCGAGCGAAGTTACCTCTGAAAAAAAGAACAAACACACACACACATACACCCACCCACACAAAAAAAAAGCAAAATTAAGGTAAAGTTTCTTGAAATTTATCAGATGAACAGTGGAAAACTTTTGGCAGCACTACCTGACCTCAAAGGGTAGAACACTTGGGCCTGTGAAACAGACATAGGGATCGCCTTTCCCCACTCCCACGGATGCTTCACCCATATACCGCATTTTTCATCAAGTCCTCTTGTTTGGACTGGTTTTCGGCTAATTAGCAAAGAAATGGCTAAAAATGAGTTTTTCAACAATAAAGGCATATTTTCCGACTAATCGGATGTAATAATTAAGCACCTTTTGTTTATTTTGGCGCATGGCATGATCTTGGGCCAAATTTTTTTTTGCCAATCTATTTCAATCTTTCTTTCTCGTTCTCATGTTTCTTCCTTTTTTCCCTTTTACAAATCTTTTTTAATACGCAGTTTTTGTCGCCCGCTTTATCACATTCTTTAAACCAGATTTTTGTTAGGTCCAATAGATATTTGCATTTGCAAAGCCGGAGTTGTAACTGGCTAACGTTTAAAAGGGACTTACTTTTGTGATAGTTGTTGTTTAAGTATGCCTTGGTTGTTATAATTCATAAATATATTATTATTTTTTTATTATTTTGTCTAGGAATGAATCACAGCGATTGATGTCAGTTATCTGGAGCAGGGCGCACTACTTAAGAAAAATAGGTTTAGAAAATAATAATAATAAAGGATAACATTAACAGACAACATAAATGTCAATAAATTGTTTATTCGAATCGCTGAGGGGTGTTTTGATTGGTCATTTGCACCAGTGAGAGAGTTACGAATTGAGGAAGTAGGAAACTGATTGGGTATGTTGAGTTTTCAATTATATTTAAAGATTTGTTATGCCATATCTTTATATTTCAATATTGGCGTGTAAAGTCTTTAATCTTCAACGTTTGGCGAGCAAAAGTCGTGAAATTTTAATGTTTGGCATGCAAGAATCTTTAAATTTTAAAATTTAGCATAACAAATATTAAAATCTCAACTGAGAATGATACTTAGTGCCTTAAAGATCTCCAGCTCTGTCAAAACAGCTGAGATACCGACCAGTGGGGAGGGGGGGGGGGGGGGGCAACAGTAAAAAGTTGTAATAATTTTATTATTAGTAATAAAATATTTAAAAAAATAAAAAATAAAAAAAAAAAAAAAAAAAATGATAATAGAGATTGTTATAGATGTCAATAAAACACTCCGCACGGAAAAAAACAGGGAGAGTCGGGGGGGGGGGGGGGGGGGGGGGGGGGGGCACTTGGGTAATTTTTTGGGTGGGTATGTGCCTCCCTGGACTCCAAATTGGCACCCCGTTCTAAAAAAAAATTTCCCCTAAAATTGATACCCCGCTCTAGAAATGGGCCAATTTTTTATACCCCGTTCTAGAATTCGCCCTAAAACTGATACCCCGTTCTAGAAAAAGGCCAATTTTTTATACTCCGTGCTAGAAAGTTTGTAAATTGAAATAGCCCTGTTTTTTTAAAAAGACATTTCTTATTTATTCGACTTATACATCAAATAAATGCTTGTTCATAATCAGCAACAATTTTAAGCAGAAGATAAAGCCGTGATCCACAATTTTTTATACCGCGTTCTAGAACATGTCTCTGAAATGAATACCCGGTTCTAAATCAGGAGCGTCAAAATCACGACCCCGTTTGGCGCCACATACCCGTATAGGTTATGGGAGTACCCCCCCCCCCCGAGATACCGACCTGCTCCTGTTTCCTTTTCTGTCAGTGGCCGTCATGCATGCAGCAATTTCCTACCAGTACTATATATTTCTCACAAATTTTTCGTAACATGAAACATGTATGCATAATCATTGGCTGTACGGAAATCTTACTGTCAATTATATGTAAATGTGATTCAATTTTCTCGATGCATGTCAGATCTGATATTGGCTAACATCTTGCCTTTTCACGGGTAGCCGGTTATGAAGAATTTACGCCAATCAGAAACGGAGAATATTTTGAATGAATAACTGGAATAATAATTAACATTGTATGTTTATATTCATACTATTGATTAAACAACTGTCTGGGGCTGAACGTTAGGCTAAGAAAGGCATAAAAAAAGCGTTTAGGGGCATTTACTTGGTGCTCCTTAAGAATGGAGACAAATTGTTTCATGGTCTAGGATGTTAGTTATTGGCAGTAATTCGTCTCCTGTTCTAGGATGTGATTTGAACGTAGTCGAAATTCGATTCACTCAGGGTTTTTTTTATATAAATAGCCGGAGGAGTGTTATATGTTAGCTAATGATTGGGCTAAACGGAAAGAAATGATGGATGACAATTCATAAAACTCGCAAAAAAAGAAAAGGAGGCTGATAAGAACTATCCAACAAAGAAAAATATCTGTGCAAAACAAAAGAGCCCTGACAGTCTTGGCGCAATTATGAAAGAGCAAAAAAATATATAAATTATTTGTCTCCTGGCCTGTCACATCACTTCTCTTTTCTTAACCGAGCTTAAAATCTACCATCATTCTTCATTTACCAACTCAGGTAAATTAAGGCATGGGTCCCCAATGATTCAGTCAAAACGTGATGGAGGGTGGTCTGTCGCTGCATGAGTCAGCATTAGAAAGATGAGACTTTGTTAGATACATACATGTGTGCACGTGGTTTCTGTCAGTTTCGTGTTTTTCAATTATGCCAATGTTGTCAAGTGACTCCACACGACCAGAAAACAATAAAAAGTCTTTAAACAAAAATGGCAACACTTTCTGTTGTGAGTTATTAAAACGGACTACTTTAGGAAGATGTATAATACAAGCATCTACAAAACTGTGCTTGGCCAGGAGCCCATCAGTGGCTTGGCCTTTTTTGAATTTTTAACTGTTTTAGAAAATAAACGGTTTTTTGAACTAGACCTAGTTCCCCTAGGCAATTTTATCAGATCTTAACGCCTTCGCTTTTAAATATCTAAAAAAAGCCAAACACAGAAGTGATATATTAAACGGCCTTAACATTACGCAACCGGTAAAAATAATTGAGGACACACGAAAAAGTGTTGCCTTTTCAAGAACAAGCTTTTTCAGCCGACAGAGGTCATGTGACCTAATTTGCAAAATTGTAAAGCACGAAATTGGCACAAACTAAAAATGTGTGCAGCTGGCAAAGTTTCATGAGTCCACATCTAAAGCTCTTAGATATAGAGCACCCCTCACTTTCGAAGTGAACAAACTGAGGTAAATTGAGGCCCATGCCTTAGTTTACCTGAGAATGACAATCATGTTTCTTTAGTTCTAGCCACAGGGTCTTTTTTGGTAGGGTAATTTATCCTATATTTATTCAACCGCTGTTAAGATCTCGAAACTGGTTTTCACCCAGTAAGGAGCTCGAGGTATGCTTTAGAATCCATAATATTTTTTCTTCATTTCGTTTTATAACCGGAAAAAGTGATTACTTAAAGCGAGTTCTTACCAAAATGCAAGTAAAGCTACCACAAATAAAATCATAATAGTTCTTTCTTTTTTGACCACATGGAAACCTCTCTTGTCGGGTACTTTTCATTCAATAGGCAGTATATTTCGAAACTCGAGAATTCACTTATTATAAAAGCTATCCGTATAGGATACTTCAGAAGCACTTTTGTGATTTGATTTTTAAAGACCGATTAAAACTGCCTTGTTTGTGTAAGCGTAGATTTTGATAAGGAACTAGAATTTAATTGAACTAATATCGGCTTCAGTAAAAAAGACGACGAAGTTTATTGTGCGAGTTCTCACCCGGGAAACGAAGTTAACTCAATTTTAACTTCTTCTCTTTGACACTCTAAAATATTGAAGCTGAGTTTTTTCAGTTTACTGCTGAAATTGTGGACAGTTTCAGATATAAAGTGATTACGGAAGTTATATGATAGCGTGATTTTCTTTTTCTTAAAAGCATATTTACGTAATCAGGTGGGAATTTACTCAAGTTAACAGCTTAAGTGATAGAAGCTTCTATGGAATCGATCGGGTGTTTTTTTTAGCGTTCATTGTTATCATTTGATTGTAATCTTTTCAACTTTTTTGAAGATCGCTTAGTTTAGTGCTCTGATTTCAAAAGACATATCCCGCATCGTCCGAAGATTCCCTGTACATAATATTGAAGTTAACGAAAAGGCCATTCGCCGCTTTAAACGATTCTTCGGCTGCAACATTTCTCCCACTAAGTGACTGTATTTACATTGCACACACATGAATACATGACTTTCCTCCTTTGACTTTTTTTCTCTGTATTGCTTCTTTTTTTAAGTGCTATAACATTTGATATTGTTAAGGACGTTGTTATTTCAGTCTATCGCTACACTAGACAATGCAAATGCTAGCATAAAAATCGATTGTACTGAAAATGAAAGAAAGTACTTGTCATTCAGAAAGTTGCATATTCCATAAATGTATGCTATTGTTAATGCAAACACAGAGCCAAGGACACTAAAACATTGATAATTAAGTTTGTCTTCGTTGAGTCCATCAGTTTAGACAAGGACAATCGAAATTGTTGGTCAGGAGCCGATAGAGGACTGTGGGCGGTGTAGTTGTGATATCATAATCACCGTTCTCACATAAAAACACCCACCCATTTTAGTTCATCGCCGGATTTCGAAAAACTTTCAAGTTTTCCCGAAATCTGACTGGAAATCTTAGAAGGTTTCTCTTATCACGACCAATTAAGTTGCTACAACCTGATCTTCGCTCGCACCGTCTTTGTTCTACTTTCTCGGTCAACTCTCTGGAAGTTCTCCTCCTCCTCTGGCATGATGTTTCGTCTCTTCGTTGTTGCATTTCTTCTAATTCATGTAGGCCTCAAAGCAAGCTCAACAGGTTGGTAAATTATAACTATTATTTTTTTTTTTCACATAGTTCAAGTTAAAGCCTATTGATGTTAATCCAATTCAGGAACGCAGTATAGTGGTAATAATAGCGTCATCTTTACTAACAGTGTGACAGGCATCGACAATATACGTAAACTGCCGTGAATACAAAAAATACAGTATATTACCAAGATATCCCACAAATTGTTAGACTTGAAGAGAAAAACCATGAATTTGCTTAGAGGTCTAAGCTAACAAAGACAAGCCACGCTAGAAATCAAAACTAAAAGGACATTATTTAATTTGTTACATAAGCTTACTGGCAATAGATTCACGTCGAAATACCTAAGGATCGTGATTTTACATAGTTTTTTGCTTCATGAAATCTATTTACTATACATTTTTCGTCATTTCTATATTCGTATTCTTTACTCTCGGAAAAGCCTGCCAATAGCATTTTGCCGGCAGGTGCAATGGACGATATTCGAACGAGACAATGTGGTTCTAAATTGTTTGTGTACATGACTTTATGAGTTGTCGCCACGTGTTCTTAATTTCAATGGCCATATTAATAGACAGATTGCGTCAGAAAATTTATTTTGCTATAATAAAATGTATTGACTAGCACTTTTTCACGTTATGCAAATTTCTTCTGCGAGGATCCGGCATTGCTTCGAATTTTCTCTAAGGTCACTTATGTAATTTTTTTTCCTGAATAAACATTGAACACCATTAAGATGATTTCGAATGCTTTAATTGACTGATCGACCTTCAAAATATCAGCATTAGAGCCATGTGTTATTTAAAACAATCCTCAAAGTCGTAGCTACTCTGTCTACAGTATAATAACATCAGCACTTAAGTAGGTAGCCACCACTACAAGAAGAGCCTCGATAACTTTGTCTTCTTGATCGAGCAAGCGAACGAGACTGCTGGCAGGGTAGAAAGTAGCGGAAAGGGAAGACAATCTTAGACTGCGAACAGTCTCTTTTTTTTTTCCTTTGAGTGAAGGTAGAACGCGAGAGCGCGCGAGGAGCGAGCGGCGAAGCCACGAGGAACGAGGGCAGAGCCCGAGCAAAGAAAAAGTCCTAGTGATGATTATGATAATCAATTATTTTTATTCTATTTGTTGTTTCCTGTTATTTTTACTTTCATATTTTGTAATTGGTTGGTGCGTTGCCTAACCGGCTTTTAACAACCTAATCGTGATGATGATGATGATGATGATGATGATGATGGCGAGACTGCAATTCGATCTTTGATCAGACGCTTTGCCGCTTTTCACGCCTTTCCCTCTCTCGCCCCACTCTCTACTCCTTTTTTGCCATTATTTTCCATAATTTTACCTTTTCGCTCGTCGTGCCTGTCTCTTAGGAAAGAAGGACGACAGCTTGTGGTCTAACGGACAATCTTAAAACTCTTTTTTATCGTTGTAGGTAATTCAAAGTATGTGAAGGTCGGTTGCTTTGAAGATAGATTCCATTCAAGAGCTCTTCCTGAATTGATTGCAAACTATCGTGGCTCAGACCAGTTCGACTGGTTTAATCTGGATAAATATGTGAAGAAATGCGCTGAAGAGGCAAAGAAGAGGAATTATATGTTCTTTGGGTATGTTTATATCAAGTCAAGATACATAACTAATAATAATAAATTAAGTAATAATAATAAATTAGTTACGGAATTCTTTTGCAATACAAATAAGGAAGGACAGCTTAGGTACAGAGAATGACAAAGGCAACGGATTCAAGATTGTTGGTCCTGGATAAAGAATACTGATGAACTGCTTTATCTTCGTTCTACAAAGACGAGGTCTATACTGAGAGGTTAGTCGAGTATAATTTCGTATCAGTAGACCTGGTCGTGATCACCACCGCTTGAAAAGATCGAGGTTACGAAACTACTAGGCCGAAGGTTATGGTCGTATTAAAAAATTTTTGTTAATTATTTGCAGAATTCAGTTTTATGGAGAATGTTGGAGTGGAGTGAATGCAGCTCTCAGCTATGATAAGTACGGTCCCTCCCNTGTGGTCTAACGGACAATCTTAAAACTCTTTTTTATCGTTGTAGGTAATTCAAAGTATGTGAAGGTCGGTTGCTTTGAAGATAGATTCCATTCAAGAGCTCTTCCTGAATTGATTGCAAACTATCGTGGCTCAGACCAGTTCGACTGGTTTAATCTGGATAAATATGTGAAGAAATGCGCTGAAGAGGCAAAGAAGAGGAATTATATGTTCTTTGGGTATGTTTATATCAAGTCAAGATACATAACTAATAATAATAAATTAAGTAATAATAATAAATTAGTTACGGAATTCTTTTGCAATACAAATAAGGAAGGACAGCTTAGGTACAGAGAATGACAAAGGCAACGGATTCAAGATTGTTGGTCCTGGATAAAGAATACTGATGAACTGCTTTATCTTCGTTCTACAAAGACGAGGTCTATACTGAGAGGTTAGTCGAGTATAATTTCGTATCAGTAGACCTGGTCGTGATCACCACCGCTTGAAAAGATCGAGGTTACGAAACTACTAGGCCGAAGGTTATGGTCGTATTAAAAAATTTTTGTTAATTATTTGCAGAATTCAGTTTTATGGAGAATGTTGGAGTGGAGTGAATGCAGCTCTCAGCTATGATAAGTACGGTCCCTCCCCTCGATGCATACAAAACGTGGGCATGGACCTAGCCAATTTCGTCTATAGATTTGTAGGGGAAGGTGAGTTTTCGGTTACGTCATAGCCTTTAAATACAGCCAATCCTCTTCTATTTCTTTTAATTTGTTGCACGCGTGGAGCAAAGAGAATAGGAGAAGTTTCAGTGGACGAAGGCTACAGCTAAGGCTTTTCTTTGCCAATTTAGATAGTAACTCTGGTATAATGTAATGTCGTGGATTATAATTAGAGACAACAAGACGCGCCCTCTTTTCATTGACAATAAGCTCGGACGTTAGCATACAAGGGCGACACTGGCAGCCTGATATTAAAGTTTTTGAAACGTGCGTGGTGGTAAAAATAGTTTTAATTCTACGAACAGCTGCCAGTGTATTTAAAAACATATTCCTGTGGATAATGTGAAGATTTTCGTTTAGTTTTGCATGATTAATGTGCTCTGTGCATGAAGCGATCAAGTTAGCGCTACCCCCGTCGGGTTTGCCATTTGCTCAATGGATTAAATTGCCTGTAGACATGCAGCGCGCATGTGCTTAAAAACGTCTTCACCTCTTTACATTCATGTCACCTGAATCAGACTGTTATCTGCCCCCTTTTCAGAAAACGAATGCCTGCATTACACCATCCTTAAATCCTCTGATCGTGCCTCATCATTCAAACTACCCACGGGTGTCTCACCGTCTTGTGATAAGGATCTTCCTCTTAAATGGTACCGCTTCATGCTACCAGCAGGAACCAAAATTGCTTCAACCTGTATTCCATCCCAGCGATGCAACACTGTAGTTACTGGGTGGTTGAAAACGGCCCATCCTAAATCCACTGATGGCATCGATAGCGGGGAGATCTGTTTCCGTTGGCAATCTAATTGCTGTCAATGGTCTCAAAACATTTACGTTCGAAACTGCGGCAGGTTCTATGTCTACAAGCTTCCACACACCATAGGTTGTCCTATGCGCTATTGTGGACAGCCATGAAGTAAGTGGTAGTTATAAATATTTTACTCCATTTAAAACCGGGTCCAAGAGCAGGGGCGGATCTAGGGGGAGGGTGCAGGGGGTGCGCACCCCCCCCCCCCCCCGGGGGGCCTGCGGGTTTTTAAACAAACCGGTTTTTTTCGAAAAAAAAAAAAGTGGGTTTTTGGTGTTGAAGAGAGGAAAAAAACAGGGGGCCCCCCCCCCAACAAAAAACACGCGTCCCGCCCCGAAGAGCGAGAGAAAAAAAATTTAAAA